GGATAAGCACTTTTTACTATAGTAATAGGCTTTCATGAGTTACGGTGCACTTCATCAGACAGTTGCTTGAGTCATAAAAAAATTACCAGAGTCCTTAAAATATATGTATATAGTTTTAAATTCCTGAGTGTAGGTGTTGCCCTCTGTAGGTGTGGGAAATAAGAATAGTACAGGTGGCCATTTATTTTTCTTGCGTAGAAAGTAAAATAATGTTTATTTGTCTTTCAAATAAAGTGAGGCTAAAAGAAAGTTGTTCCAAAATAAGCAGCAATTCAGAGGCAGGAGCCTGGCTGGCCACTTTTACATCACATTTGTTATCAGTTGAAGAGCGAGGTATTGATGCCTGCAGATGTGCCCTGCCCAGTCTTCAGTATTTCAAACATGATTCTATGAAAGCTTCACTGTAATTCTATGTCAATTTTAAATTGTTTATGAGGAATGGAGTGATAACTGGGGAACTGAAACAGCATAGAACTTTTTGGATTTGCAGTATTTTTTCATAAAGGACCTGGAATGTGCTACTTTTTTCTTTTTACAATATTTAATATTCTGTTTACTCAAACTTATAGTGTGGGGGTCTTTGGTGATCTCTGAACTTGTTTGTTTTCTTGCAGAGATTTCATTACCAACTGGGCAACATCAGTGCTAGAAGAGATTGAGGTTTGCACTGTTTATATATATGTGACCTGCCCTGACAGTGTTGATGGGATTGTTTTTGGTGGTTCCTTGATTAAGCTGTTTAGTTTGATTTTTGTGTATGTTGGTATTTCCTTGCTTAGGGTATTGTTTACTGCTTGATTGTGATCTGGTTTTGGTGTTAATTGCTGCTAAGGTGGTGTTGTGGTTTTTTTCCCCTCTTTGATTCTCTGTTTTGAATGATATGTAGATGTTGTTTATCTCTATGTGCCTGTTGATGAGTGCCAGGCATCCAGGAAGTTTGGTATTTTGGGACCTAATTTAGTCTAGAATTGAAACTATGGTGAAGTCTGTCCATGTCTTGTGCAATTAAGGAGTTTTCATCATGTGTTCTGCCACTTGGTGGTCATAGATGTGCTCTGCTAATTTATCTTACATAAAGGCTGTAATTGCTCTTATATTGTATGTTGTAGAATGTAGATGACCCCTGTTTTTACTTCTGAAGCTACTAGATCTTTTGGTTTACTTAAGATATTTTAGGGGCTTTAGTAGTTGTGTGTGCTACGGTGATGTCCTGTGGTTGTAATACTCTGTGGGTTGTTTCTGAGACATTTTTAATGTATGGCAAAGCTTTTCACAGCTTGTGTTAGTTGTGCTGTAGTGGGCTAAGTGGTCAAGCATGTTTTGATAAAATGTGTATCTATTTTGTTGGAAGGTGTTGGTATAGATCATGTTTCCTTTTTTTTTTTTTTTTGATGTCCAGGGTCGCTGGAGTATTTATGCTTGTCTAAACTTGTGGGAGGTTGGATTGTTATTTTCTAGTGGAGCACTTGCTTAGTGTGGGTGGTTTTATGATAGACATGTTTCTAAT